GCCTCGCCTGCCTCGCCTGCCTGCCTGCCACTCCCCTCCCTCCACTCCCCTCCCTCCCTCCCTCCGTTCTTGGCACCTCGTGTACAGACGCATCCGGAGCAGATTCTCCTCATACAGCTTCCGGAGCGCTGCTCGGCGAAACTCAGTGCAGATGTCACCGGCGCCGGCGGCGGCCCGGACCCGGCGATCGGACCTGCTGCGGCAGCCGCCTGCTAGATGCCGAGACGTCTGACTGTCAGTTTACCTGTACATGTTCAACGTCAGGTAGTTTACCTGTACATGTTCAACGTCAGGTAGTTTACCTGTACATGTTCAACGTCAGGTAGTTTACCTGAAGCCTGGGGGCCCCTTTGCTGAACATCTCTCTGTGATCCACTTGCTTCCCTCCCGTCTCCATAATCACCTCCCGTATGATAGCTTTGAACTCATCTCGATTCTCTAGCAAGCCTTGGCGAATGAAATCCTTTGCTGATTGTCCAGACTCATTTGGTACGAAACCAACTTGTCGCCTCTCCGAAACTCCTTCTGCCAATGCCTGGTTGCCCCGGCTAGATTGCTTGAACTCCAGAACTTCTCTTTGTATTTTTTCTAGGGACGCAATAACCTTGTCATTGGCCAGTGGACATATTGATGAACGTGTGGAGGAATGCCTGTCGCTTCCATTCTGCCCCTTGCTTCCTTTGGCATGCAGCAAACAATTGATTTCAAAGTATTCAGCATAGCTTCGTCCTGAAACAAGGCTGACTTCCAAAGAGGATGATTCCTCTGCAAATTCGTTCTCAGGAAGTCTGCATGGTATAACACGGATGCGAGGGCAAACTCCGCAACTCCATACATGCACATTGGTAATGTTGGGAACAGCATCTCAATCGCACTTGTAACCATCCCTGACGAATCAGCTTCTTTGAAATGCGGCGGAAGAATTGCAAACTCTGACGAGTCGATGGGAAGCGCGTCCAACAAATGCATCACCTGCTGCTTCATATCGTAGATAGGTGTTGAAAACTGCTCCATTGGCCTTCCTGCTCGCTCAGACACAGCACTGCTCGATGGACAGTGAGTACTCCCGGATGAACAATAAGTTGCTGCCCTTCCTAATAGAGTGACTTCCAAGATCCGCTGGTTGTAAACCGAGTGAACGCAGATGGGCAGTGACTGCAGTCTGCACTGCATCCATACCATTATGATCATCATGCCTTTCCGCGGTCTCGTCAGTGTCAGAGGGACTCGGGGCTGCTGATTGATTCGGTGGCATCATTATTTTTGAAAGAACCTGCATGAAACGCTTGCATGCAACCTGCATGAAACGCTTGTATTGTGATCTGCCTGGAAACAGGGACAGTTCATCTGGTAAATAGCAAAGCAAATAGATTCCTAATGCCAAAATGGGACAGATCTCTGGATAAATTGGATTTGCATAGACTCTCCTGGGGTCTCTGGGCTTGTCACCGCTCTGATCTGTTTTCGAGTGAGCAAAGAAAATTTGGAGATGATCTTCATTCCAGCACATGTGGTTGAACTGAATAGATTAGGCGTTTCCAGCGCGACACATAAGACTCCAACAAATGATGAGAAAGGTGCGAGCGAAGATGTAATTTCTCTTGTCGGAAAACATCATGGTTTTGCAAAACAAACGATAGGTTGTCATGCTCATAGGTTCTTTGCCTGTTGTTATCTTCAGTACACCTGTTGCATCCATCTGATTCAGATCTTTCTTGAGGCCAACATAGAATTCTTGAAGAGCATTCTTGAATTCCAGCGGTAGGTCTTTCTGAAAATCTCTGAAAAAGCTGTTTATTGCCGATCGATGATTACTGTAAGTTGCAAAACCATTGTTCGGTGAAACGCTTAGCAGATGCGTGATCCACATACAGAAGTAGTCTGCGTCTAATTGATCGAAATGAATCCGGTAAACTTTTGGGGCATTCCCTGTTTCAACGTTTCAGAGATAATAATGCCATAAATGGCAACTTCTAACCTGCCCAAGATACAGAATTCTCGTCCAGTACCGTTCGTATGATCCTCTTCGATGGTAATGGTGGATCTCCTTCTTCCATATCTCTTTCAATCAAATCTTTGAATTCCGTTGTCAATAGAAACAAGACATTGTCATATTGTTTATCCTCAAATATCAGAGAAACAGATTTATTGAACAATGTCAATTGTAAAGCTGAATTGGTTGTATTATACGTATCGTTAGTGTATTCATCAAATAAATAAACATTATTGTTATCATCTACTAAGAACTGCGCAGGGTCAAAATTATATGTTGTTCCGCCTCCTGTGCTTGGCAATATGACGTTTTGAGTTGATACGGTTGAATCGCCAAATCTCACAAGCTCATTATTTTGACTGTCTAATAAAACAATCTCAGGGCAGTTTGTGCCGTCCGACCGCTCCCGATGCCAGTGGTCCTGGGGCTCCTTGCGGTCCTGTGGCTCCTTGCGGTCCTGTGGCTCCTTGCGGTCCTGTGGCTCCTTGCGGTCCTGTGGCTCCTTGCGGTCCTGTGGCTCCTTGCGGTCCTGTGGCTCCTTGTTTTGACCCTGTTGCTCCTTGCGGGCCTTGCGAGCCAGTCGCCCCAGGAACTCCTGGGATCCCTGGGGCACCAGGAGCGCCTGGACTCCGGGAAGACCGGGGGCACCAGGAGCACCAGGAGCTCCGAGTCCCGGAGGACCCGTCGCGGGCCAGTTGCGCCAGTTGCGCCAGTATCACCCGGTGACCTTTCAACATCGCCTTTGTGAACTGGACGTCCGGCAGCTCTGTCAGCTGCAGCATCCGTAAATTATTTCGAAACACTCATCGTTGTCGTTGAAGGGTCAAACACTGTGATATATGCGGGAAAATATGGGGAGGTGTTGATAAACTTGAATGGAAGGGTCGCTTCGCTCACAGGCCCGGTTTGACGGAGACCCATTACGTTCGCTTGTTGGGTTTGGGGTTCCTTTTCCTGTGGGGCTCTGACTCAGATACCCGTCTATTGACACAGATACAGGCGTGGTAGGACTCCGAGAGGGAAATGCACAGGGGTGGGTCCTGTAATACTAATTTATTTGTTTTAATGGTACAAATTACAATACTTTTTAGAGCATCAAGATTCGAACATGATGTCGATGAGATATCTTGATAACACGGTCGTTGTGTTGCTTTTGTTTATACAATCATCCTTATCGTAATCTAATCTTGCAAGTTCAGAATCAAGCACCATCAAAGTGTTGCTGTGATGATTTTTCCTTTGCATAGTCGACAATGTTATGTTTTTATCAATAAACAAATGCTTGAGATGTAAATTGTTGCACTAGATATCCAGTGCTGTTTGTCAAAGCAGCTCAACCTTCACTCATGCCATGCCCTCACAAACAAGATGGGACAACGAGCAGCCTGCTTATGCCTCCTCATAATGCAATCAAGGATTTTGATTTGGCATAGTTCAAGATATTTGATGTCAGTGAGAAATTTGTACCTCAGATTTACAGTATGCATTGGAATGGGAGAGGCAACATGTTTCATGGGCATTGGCAAGGTGTATGAACATCCAACTAAGGTCACGAAAGCATGAACTGAGCTGAGTGTACGTGTTCCATCAAGCATGATTCAAAGCTCATGGCCCTGATTTCAAGCGCGGTTCGTTCTGAGCTCAGCGGAAGCTCGCCACCTGCATGCTGTGCACTGATATGATCTTCAGAACTTTATAGTGTTTTAGACAGTAGCAGCTTCGCATGCAGCGAGTAGCAATACTCTGTAACACGATTGTTCTTGGTCAAGGCATCATCAGAATGTACGCATTCCATTAAGCATGATCTGGAATCAGTCCACTCAGGCTTGCAAGAGAACTCTTGTGCACATGACTCTGCAAATGCGCTGGAAAGTTGCATGCAGATCTATTGTGACACGAAGTAAACTCTGGCAGCATGATGATGTGACGCAGAAAATGATGTGACGCAGAAAGCTCACTCCACTGTACAGGTTGTCATCTCGCAAGATGTAAGGATATGAAGTCAAGCTATGTATGCAACATTGAGATACGTTGCTTCAGATTTGATCCACTGTCATGGATTCATTCAAATCGTCTTTTCTCCACATGTTGAGCACCAACAGCAAGTAGTCGATACACTTAGATCATCCCTACATTATTTTGTTTTGTCGTGAAACTTGTCTGCTGTCGATATCGTCACGAGCATGTTAATATGTTACGTATGTTCCTTGTTCTGCTAGGAAGGAAGGTGCCAAGGAAGAAAAGTGCTGTGTTGCTTGTTCATGTGGATGCACGAAGCTTACCTGATAAACAAACATGAGAAGATCAATCTTCATTTGATCTCAGCTCACCATGATTCAAGTCGTGATGGGATCTGTTGTTGACAAACAGATTGCCGCTAACAGTTGGCGTGTCTTCAAGAATGTTGTTCAAGCTGGAATTGGGGTTCCAAACAATCTAGACCATATAACGTCTGTCATCAACCTGTAAGTGGATCTTCTGAGTTTTGTTAGAAGACCCACCGGCGTGGGTCTTCTAAGTTTTGTTAATTTCATGTCACTGTAATGACGGTTTCCGAAGTTCCTTACGACTCAGGACTCAGGCGCGTAATGCCCGGGTGGTAAGGGGGGCCGATGAAGAGACAATCGTAGAGAGTCGCATTTAAAAGGCATCAGAGGTGACTCAGGACCTTGTAGGGATCTTGTAGGGCACTAGAGTAACGAAGCTGTAGAGCAGACTAGTAGAGCAGACTAATCGAAGTTTGGGAATCCCGTGTGTGATTGATTCGCAATCAACAAGTAAGACCTAATTGTCAACACAGGCTCCCGGAGTCCACACTGACTGGAGTTAGATTTTGTTTACTATGAAAGTAGGCACTCCGCGAGTATCAACGTATGTGAGATAACACGACTGAGAGGATTCAGCATACAATGCCAATCACCGAAGTTGTCTTAGTTCGTTTGCACGGACTGTCACACAGAATGCGAACGTAAAATTGATCCCCGTATTGTGCATTCCCTGCAATGAAAACTTTGCGAGTAATGGGTCAAAATAGCACCCGATTGGTACGGTAACTTGGTTTCTGTTTACCTGGGGACCAAACTTGCTATTGTCTTGGAGATACACCCGCTTGTTAAATAGTCGATTGACCGTTCTGAAGAACAGCTCACCGTCGATCACAATCGGAACTCAACGATCTCCATAAGTTGAAGTCTACCAGAGTTCCTGGGTCCTACTAAACTAGCTGATAAAACAAAACGGGAAGAGTGGAGGATTGTGCTGAGCGCGCCAAACGGTAAAGTTTCATCTTCCAAACACACTCAATGCACTGTGCCCGATCCCTTCACCGATCACATCGTTCCACTCTTATCCGGCTGCGAGGCTTAACTTGCCCAGGTGGGGGCCATCAGTGGTAAAACCTTACCTTGGTGAAGTTTACATCTCGGCTTCTTTGATCCATCGATCAGATAGACCATCAGGTCATTCGTTATCAGGTCGTTTTTCTGAAGATACGTGATCATGCAAGCGACTGCCTGTGCCAAAGGTGGCGACCCTCCTACATAGTACCCTGGCGGTTCGTTTGGCAGAAAGGCTTTGCTGTGGAGCGATTTTGAGATCTCGTGCATCAGCCCCGACAGTTCTTTTGCTACTGACCTTTCATCTAGACCAAAGTCGTACTGGGCCAGATCCTGACACACTTGTTTTGAATGAGTGCTCAGCCTTAGCGAGTCCCTGCCCATCAGTAGTTGACTATTTACAGTCTTGCTGACGCCATCGCTCATGCTCATATTGCGGTAAGTTCTCAGCATTCCAATCTCGATCAAAGCCCTGTTGTTCAGAGTTGCAACGCGTTCTGCATCGAGGCAGACTATTTTTCCAAACATTCAGCCAAATTTGATGAGTAGACCTTCTCACGCCATTTGTGTTCATTGCGCTTCTCTTTGATCAGCCGTGCAGTTTCATTGCGCTTCTCTTCGATCAGCCTTGCAATCTCATTTCGCTTCTCTTCGTTGATAGCCTCCTTCTCTTTGATCAGCCTTGCAGTTTCATCGCGCTTCTCTTCCATCAGCCGTGCAGTTTCATTGATTAGCCTAGCAATCTCCTGGAGTTCTCTCGCATACAGCATAGTCATAATCTTACCATCTTCCCCTCGATCAGATCGTTGTACAATGTCTTTGTACAAGCTCAGCCGTTCAGAGAGGTCGGCAGGCAAGGAAACGCTGGAACCGCCGCGGAGCCGAACCAAGGGTAGGGGGCACGATCTGAGTGAGGGTATCACTGGTCTTGATATCCCAGTACAATTTGGCATAGACGAGCTCGCAGGTGCTACTGGCCAGGGGGCGCGGGCGGCAGCGCGGGCGGCGGCGAAGGCGGCAGCGAGGAGAGTTTTGAGCGAGCATGGAAGCATGGCTGATCAGGGAGGGAGGAAGGGAGGGAGAGAAGGGAGAGAATGTATGGGTCTGTTTAAAACAAGGTTTTTGACTGTGCAAAGAGCACAGCATAAGTAAAACATATGGCTCTGTTTATACAATACAAAACGACTTGTAGTGCCAAATGGTACAAAGAACACAACATAAGTAAAATATATGGCTCTGTTTATATAATACAGAACGACTTGTAGTGCCAAATGGTACAAAGAACACAACATAAGTAAAACATATGGCTCTGTTTATATAATACAAAAACTTATAGACCGTGTAATGGTAGAAAGAACACAACATAAGTAAAATATATGGCTCTGTTTATATAATACAAAACGACTTGTAGTGCCAAATGGTAGAAAGAACACAACATAAGTAAAATGGTAGAAAGAACACAACATAAGTAAAATATATGGCTCTGTTTATATAATACAAAACGACTTGTAGTGCCAAATGGTACAAAGAACACAACATAAGTAAAACATATGGCTCTGTTTATATAATACAAAAACTTATAGACCGTGTAATGGTAGAAAGAACACAACATAAGTAAAATATATGGCTCTGTTTATATAATACAAAACGACTTTTAGTGCCAAATGGTAGAAAGAACACAACATAAGTAAAATATATGGCTGACGCCCACGAGCTGCATCCAATGGTTGTCGGGCCTACGGTTACCTGTTCTCTGACGTTTTCTTCGGCCCCCGATTTGAGGCCTCAACTGCTTCCTGGACCTGCATGTCCTCCAATCGGAGACTCTGACTTGGCCCTATACTCATATCTAAAAAGATGGCCTAATCATGGGCCCAGGCTAAACTGTACTGAGTGCAGACCGATGACCGGCGCGGCCCGGACCCGCGGGGACCCGAGCTACGGAGTAGACGCCGAGACGTCTGTCAGTTTACTTGTACATGTTCAACGTCAGGTCGTTGCCAAGTTGGACCCGCACGCGTTAACGAAGGAAGGAGAGGAAAAGAGGAGCTGACTAGCGGAGGATGGCGGCGATCGCAAGCCCAACAATAAACCCGACCAGGGTAGCGAAGAGAACAAAAGTCAAATCCCCCTCCTCCTCTTCCTCCTCGTTCTTCTCCTCCCCTTCTTGCCTTCTGCCCTTCAACTTGGAAGCAGATTCCCCTGACCAGGCTGGCGGGGCCTTGAAAGACGGAAAACCATCCGAGGAGGAGGTGGGAAGGCCTAGCTTGCTGCTGAGCCAGTCGAACGAGGAGGCAAAAGGCACCACCCACGTCCAGCTCTGCCTTCCGACGCTCTCCAGCAGGGCATTGAGCGGGAAGGACTCGAGGTGGAGCAGCTGCTGCAGCTCCAGGCGCAACAGGGCGAGCTGGATGGGAAGGACACCCAGCGGCTTCATGTGCCCGTACTCCGCGTTCCTCGGCCGCATCCTAGCCGCCTGCATGGCCTCGAGGTAGAGAGTCTTGGCTCGAGTGAGGTTCCTTGCTGTTCCCCTGCCCTCCTCCGTCAGCCACGCGGCGTTGAAGAGCGAGTGCGGGTCCTCCTTGTTCATAAGGTAGTGCTCCAGCGCTGCCGCAAAGTTCTGCTCCCCTCCGACGCCGGTGTACTCCATGTCCCCCAGCCTCCTCCTGGCAAGACAGATCAGCACGGGACAAGCATCGAGATCAGCACGGGGCAAGCATCGAGATCAGCACAGGACAAGCATCGACTGGCTCCGGACCTGCTGGGGGCATCCCCTTCGACGGCAGCGATGGAGTAGAGGGTCCTTGCAAGCGTCAGGTTCTGCTGCTGCGCATGAGCAACTCCCTGCTCCACCAGGTACGCCAAGTTGGCGATGCCGCTGGTCCAGCCACAAGCAGCTGCGAGCTTGTACCGCAGATACGCCCCGACGTGGTCGTTGGCCACGAAGGAAGTCTCTGCCTTGGTCAGCAGGAAGCTCAGCAGGCCTCGCTCGGCCACAAATTTGAAGGCTCGCGCGGCCTCAGCGTGCGACTTTGCCCTCCCCTCCCCTCCCTCCGCCATCAAGCCCAGATGCCAGACAGCCGCTACCTCCCCTCTCCTCGCTGCGCCTTCCAGGAGGACGCGGGAGGAGGGGAAGTTGATCGCGTATCCTAAGTCTCCCTGCCTGATCGCGGCCCCGAGCAGCAGCGATGCCTGCGTGTTCCCCACGTTTGCCGCCTCCTCCAGCAGACTTCGTGCCTTCCCGTGGTCGATCGAGATGTTTCCGCAGCCGCCATGCACGTAGCACAGCCCCATGTTCGTCTTCCCCCAGTGACTCCCAGCGGCCCCTGCGAACAAGACGGTGCTGAGCGTCTCGTTCCTGCGCATGCCAAGGCCGAGGAGCGCGAGAGTCCCGAGGTTGAGCTTCTGTTTCACGTCCCCGCCCCTGGCACTGACGGCTGCAGCCTTGCTGGCTCCCTCGAAGTCTCCGCGAGGGACGGAGTGATCCCGCCCCCACACATAGGAAGTGAAGATCCTGTCAAGAGCGTACAAGAAATCCTGCTGGAACGTCGAGAGGTCCCTCTCCCGCGACCCAGCAAATTCACTCCAGCCCACCCCCTTGCCCGCTAGAGCTTCTGATCGATAATCTTCCGACAAATCCTCTAAGATTTGCGATAAATCGTCGTACTCGAAGAGTCTCGCAGTCCCCTGCCTCCTCCTCCCTTTCCTCTCGCTCACGAAAGTGCTCCAGAGCGTCTCGCTTGTCCGAACTGAGATCTCAGCTGCTATCTGTCAAGGATATAAATCACTCCTTGTCAGGAAATTCATCCCTGCTATGCACACGAACATGTCCATTGCAAAAACCACAAAACAACCTGCACTACTTGCAAACACACCAACATTTCTCCTTCGATCAAAATACCACAGAACTCCTGACAGAACTCTCACTTCACCTTGTAATGTTTCATCGCTCTCGTCAGATTCTGCTCAACACCTAGTCCTCTCCAGAAACGAAAACCCATCGCCATGTGGCATATCGGATGTCCAACCCCTCCCGCCATGGTTTCGTCGGCACAGTCCCGCAGGTCAGGCGGAGCCTCCGGATCCAGAGGGTTCGGGTGACTGAGGATGGAGTAAAGAGCCTTAGCATGGAGGTTTCCTTGTCGAGCAGCGAGCAGGAGACGGTCAAGTCCCCTCCTCACCCTCCCCTCGCTGTTCTCTTCCCCATGTTCAACACCGAACAGCTCGCCGACAGCGGTCAGCAGCGCGTCTCCCTTGCACTCTCCCTCGCACTTCCCTCCCTCCTCCTCCTCCTCCACTACTGCCGCCACCTCCTTCTCGGGATCTGCAAGCTGGCCGCCAGTGCCACGTCGCTCCACAGGCTCGAGCACCTGCCTTGCTAGTCAACTTGCCTTCACTCGACTCTCAACAAGCCTGCAGGGGGAGAAGCGACTTGGGCTTTCCTCGTATGATCCCGTCAAACTCCCGGATGGTCTCAACAGCTGGAGAAGCTCTATTGGGTGGCCTTGAAGGAGAGGAGCACGTGAACGTTCTCATGATGGGATTCACACAGCTCGACGGGTTTCTCTCACGATCTGCATGATGGAGGGCAGTCATTTCTTTCCCTTCAACAGCAGCATCACATCAACAACCACACCTATCGCAAAGATCTTGATCTTGAACGTTCCGGCCTCGTGCACGACAGCGTTGAAATGTAGCAGCCCTTCACGGATCGGCAGCTCCATCTGATGAGCAGCAGCAGCAGCAGCAGCAGCAGCAAGTCAGAATGTCTTGATGACTTCGATCCCTACACAAAGGTTGCAAGACATGACAAGGTCTACCGGATTGTTCGAACCGACGTAAACAAGAAGAGCAAGGGTGTCGTCAGGTCTAGACGCGTCGACCCCAACGCTCTTCCACTCTCTGTCAGCTTCACCTCAACTCGTCTTCTCTGCCTCTCACCTCGATCACCACCTGCACCTGACATGGCGTCCCTTCAAACGCTGCAGCAGCCGGAGGCGAATGCAGGATCATGTAGCGCTGCGCCGGCCTGAGGTCGAGCGGGAAAGGCTTCTTGTCCTCTGATGCAGCATTGACCAGCACCGATGACAGATTGGACAAGCAGAGGAAGAGGAAGACGAAGAGCATTATGTGATCGGTCTTACGAGGCATGTGGGAGAGTACCACCTTGCTGCTCGTCTTGTCTTGTTGTAAACCAGGGATCGGATGCGAGAAAGAGCAGCAGGTCATTGAACGGGTGAGACATCGCATGTTGTTGTGAGATGCACCAAGTCTTCTGCCTCACATGCAAGAACTACAGCTCTCCTCTCTTTCATCTCTCTCTCCTTCGTACCCTGCCGCTCGTCTCCTTCCTCCTTCCAAGTCCAGCCTATTCCGCACATTCATAGATCGTCGTCCATGTTTTTCTCAGTTCAGCCTACTGTTGGAGGAGCAGGAGGAGCAGGAGGAGCAGGAGGAGCAGGGGGAGCAGGAGCAGGGGTAGGGATAGGAGCAGGAGCAGGAGCAGGAGCAGGAGCAGGAGCAGGAGCAGGAGCAGGAGCAGGAGCAGGAGCAGGAGCAGGAGCAGGAGGAGCAGTAGGAGGAGGGTGTTGGTGGGAAAGGAATAATGAGCAGCATGGGGTGCAGAAGATGTCTAGAAATTGTTTGCTGCCCTACTCTACTGCTAGTTCTCTTTGGAGACTACCCCCACCTGCTTCCATTACCGTACCCTTCTTTATAACACCCCCGAAAAGGTATCACCCTACCCTAGAAGATTCCCAATTCAACGTTCTTCAGTCCTGATACCCCTTATTTCCCATTGTATTACCCCACAATCCACAGCAGATCAATCATTGAAATTATGACTACCCTTGCACTAATGACCCCCACCACCCTCTTCTCAGTACCACCCCTAACCAACTGAGAGGCGCCGGCCGCCTGCGGAATTATGACGAATGGCGGGAGGAGGTAAGGGGAGGAGGAGGAAAAGGAGGAGGAAAGAGGAAAGAACAGGCTGAAGAAGCAGCCATGAAGGTCAAGGAAGATGGTATGATTGGGGAGGAAGGAGGGGAGGAAGGAGGAGGGGCAGCAGGGGCAGTAAGGAGATTGTGTCGAGGACGTGCTCTTGCAGTAGACGGACAGATCAAGTGCCTTTGTGTGAGAGATAGTGCGAATCAGGGGGGCTGTGATGCTTCTTGGCAATGTTTGTTGATGTACTCTTGTGGTTTTACCTCGACGTCTCATGCGAACTGTTACTTTCGAACCATCCGATATACAAGGCTCTAACTCCCGTGCTGGGATCCTCAGCCATGTCGATGGTTTTCTTGTGTTGTGGCAAGGAAAACTGCGACTTTCTAGTCTTTTTGTGCATCATACACGAGTTTGCCTCATGAGTTCGGCTTTTACATCTCTATTTGTACATGTCTGTTCAACTCCGCGTTGATAGCGCTAACAGGTGGTTGACGGTCTTGGTTGGGATCTGCTGCGCCTCTTTTGCCCACTCGCTTCACAGTGCTTCTGCTACCCTCGGCCTCAGCAAACTTGAGAACCTCAGCCTGAGGGGCGGGGGATTCGGTCCTTTCTTCAAGAAGCCTCCTCCTCCCCCCCCTCCTCCTGCTCCTGTCAGGAAGTCAATCATGGACATGCTACCAGTCAGCTTCACGGAGCTTTCAGCTGTGGTCCTTATGGCAGCCATCACCCACCTCTCTAAGCCGAGCAGCTTCCATCCCATCGGCGCTCCTCACACCATCCAGCATGTCTTCTACTACGGTTGGATCGCAGCGCTCTCGACGGGCCTCGGGGTCATCCCGCTCCTGTTCATGCACAAGATTCAGGATGTCTGGCTTGGCCTGTCCAACGCTGTTGCTGCTGGCATGATGATCTCCGCCTGCTATCACCTCGTCGAGGAGGGGCTCACTCTAGAGCCTGACGGTTCAACCTTGTTCAACATGGCTGTCTCGCACCCTGTCAGGGTGGTAGCTGGACTGCTGCTGGGGGCCGGGTGAGGGAGGGAGGGGAGGGGAGCAGGGGTAGTGATCTAAATTGTTTCCCGTGCTCAGATTCGTGATCTCGTCCAAGTCATGGATTGAGAAGCACGAGGATCTCAAATTCGGGAGCCTCACAGGGAAAGATCTCAGAAAAGTTTTCCTCATGGTTGCCGTCATGACCCTCCACTCCTTCTCTGAGGGACTGGGTACGTCTTCCGCCTGCCCCTCCTGTGCTGACTAGCTTCCAGGGATCGGAGTCAGTTTCACGGGCAAGGATGGAGCACACTTGGGTGCGATGGTGACGGGTGAGGGAGAGCAGGTGGTCGACTCGTCACGTCGTGACTGTCTGTTCTTGCAGCCACACTTGCCATGCACAACATCCCGGAGGGTTTGGCTGTCGCCCTCGTGCTCATGCCCAGAGGAGGTCATATTTCCCTCCCTCCCTTCCCCTCCTTCCTCCCCCTCCCTCACATCACCTCCCTCCCTCCTTTCCTCCCGTGCCCTCCCTTCCTTCCCTTCTCTCTCTCCTCTCTATGTAGAAGATGAACGTTTTCTCAACAGTCAGCAAGTTCAGCACCATCTTGTGGGCAATCTTCACCAGCATGCCTCAGGTGACCATGAGGATTAGCCCATATGAGCTGATCTTTTATAACAGCCGCTGATCGCCGTGCCTGTCTTCATCTTCGCTCGCCATTTCATCTTCTGGCAATCTGTCGGTACGTTGCAATTCCTACCACTTGTGCTATACAGAGGGGCGAGCTTTGTTGGCATGAACGATTTCTCCTCCTCCTTCCTTCCTCCTCCTCCTTGCTTTCTCCTCTTCTTCCCTTTCTCCTCTTTCTTCCCTTTCTCCTCTTCCTCCTCTTCCTCCTCTTCCTCCTCTTCCCTTCGTCGTTCTTCTTTCCCTACCTAACACTTATACCTCATGCTCTCCTAGGACTGGGGTTTGCGGCTGGTTCCATGCTTTGGGTCACATTCTTCGAGTTGTTGGCGGACGCCATGAAGGTCAGCAGCTTTACAGCTCTCGCTTCCTCTGATCTCCCAGCAGGACCTCTCCTTGTCAACAACCGCCTTGACAACGGTGTGCGTTTACTTGCTGTGTTGTCCCGGTGACGAACGTGGCAGGTTATGTCCTTCGCTGCTGGCCACCTTCTCCGGCATTGGCTCCCGGAGCCATCGTAGGGACGATGTTGAATTCTATCCAGTACAATACAATGTAGGAAGCAGAAGCTGCGAAGATTGGCAGACTGGTGTGTGCGATTTGAGCAAGACAGACGTAGATGCCCATGTGTTCAACTTGCAGCCATGAGGGCGTTTTCACTTCAATCATCAGTATAAAGAATATCACATGGGCTAGGCAGGGAGGACGATCATCTCAGAATAAGATCCAAGTTCTTACTCAACACGTTTGATACCAGCTCGTTCGCTGTGTTCCCCACCATGGCTCCAGCTCGCAAGTCTTCCTTGTAGATGGCATAGAACATGCCGAAGAGTTTCGTCTTGCAAGTTTCATACCTGCAGTCTTTACGGTCTATTCGTTCTCCCAGTTGTTTTCCAATGCAATCAAGCACCAGCGCCTTGTTTGCCTCACTTACTCGTGAAGCTCCCGTGGGCTTTGCAGGGGGCTTGGAATATTTTTCTTTCTTCTGCTGCACCGCAGAAGCTCGTGGAGCAGGAGGAGGCAGAGACTGAGTAGTTCCCCCAGGTCGCCCCATTCTTCCTTCGCTCAAGGTTGCTGTCTTGCCTTTCACCGGCGCGACACTAATCTCCTTGCTGTTCTCTGAGCGACGGCGAACTCGTCTCAGCTCCAATTCTACATCTTCCCAGTCGTCGAAACAATAGTCGACTCCATGCGTGCGCTTCGGGTATTGTGGAATTACACAATCAAAACCGTCAGCGCCTCGAAAATGCTCAACTGTTGGATGGAAGTTACTGTCACTCATGTCGAAAGCATCGCAGAATCTTGAGTAGTCGACCAATGTCTCGTGCACCCCTTGATCGTCAAAGTTTGGAGAGACCTTTTGACAAAATGCCTGAGTGTTGAATTTCTTCAATGCAGATCTGATCTTCTTTGCTGCGAGGTCTCTTGACTCCGGGAAAGGAGGAACTTGATGGTTCTGATTCACTTTTTGAACAGGACTGAGCTGAGAGGAGACGGTTTGTAACTGATGCAGACCCTTTTCAAAATCCAGGATGATTGGTCGCTCTTTGAAGGATGAAGAAAACTGTGAAATGATAGAGCTGCACTCCATCGCAATTTCCTGTTCATAATATGAGAGAAGACGATTTCGCATGTCACTTTTGTTCAAATCAAACACACAGTCCTTCAAAATGGCATTGTCAACAGAAGCATCTTTCGTATCTACAGATGCTTCAATGGTCCTTAACCCCGTTGGAATAGCAGATTTCATCTCCTCAAGCAATGCAGAACCTATTCTGAAATCATAGTTCTTGATAGAATCGTAGTTCTTCAAAATTGTAATTCGCCATGAGCCATCCTGACAGCTCTGATGGATGACCAATAATGTTTCACAGTCATCCAACTTTGTGAAATCAGCTTCAAGAATGTGATCTCGAGAGCCTTTCTCCAAAATTTGCCGAGAAACTACCTTGAGAGGATGTTCCAAGATCTTTTTATAACTACTTAGTTTACAAAGAAAGCCCATATTCCCCTGTGACATCTGCAAAAGGTTTTTGAATTTTTCAGCGACAATGTCCCTTTCAAGAAATTCAAGATTCAAAACTGCGGCAAAAAAATGGATGGGGATTGTCAACATGTCAATGGGCTTTAAGATTTCTATCGTATTTGCATAAATTGTCAATTCATCTGTTGTTGATTTTGTGTGCTGCTTGCAGAGTTCATAATTGCAAAAGTTGCCATTCTGACGGACAAATTGAACCTTGCACTTATGTCGAATGGATGTGCTAGGTCCTAGAAGATCAAACACCATCTGACCTCTCCATTCCGTTGACCATCTCAGGATGTCTTCGACCTTGGGCCAAATCTTTTCATCCATCGAACATTCTTCCACAACAGCAGGGTTGACAGCATATTGCAAGAATTCTTTTGAGATTTCCGTGCAATCTGCTTTCAGTAATTCCTGCCAATCCTTCAAGTTGTCTCGGCACTTCGGGTCTGTCAAGTCATCAGGGCAAACTACTATTCGAACACTGGCACCAAAACAATCCACAGCAGTAATCAAAGGAGCAAACATGATCAGAGCTTCTCCTTGTTCCAAGCTGTAGGAACCATCGGTCAGCCATATGATATCCAGCAAGCTGTTGCCTTTGATGTCTTGCAGTAGCTGCATCACGACCTCATCGAGGCTTTTGCTAGTCAAATGTTCACCCGTTAATCCTGATCGCTCATGGAGCTCAAACCAGCTACACCATGACGTGGCAGAGTAGGATCTGCTCACTGCAGCAACGCGAGAGGCAGAGACATCGAGTCCGTGGTCTTCCAGCAGCTTCAGGACAGCTGAGGAAGATAAAAGCTCGAGCAACGGACTTCGGTCTTGATCTACGATGAAAAGGTGATGACGGACGTTTGAAACGATCATCACCATTACGCGATCGCACTTGCAAGGGATTCCTTCTTCTCACTGCATGTCTGTCTTGCTCTTCATACTTTCCTCTCCGTTCGCTCCCTCCTCCCTCTCAAGATCCCTTCCCTCCTCTCGGCCCTTCCATTCCCGCCAAAACACCGCATCTTACCACGACTGTCAGTGCTACCGGCCTTTAACCGGCCCCCGGGCCCGGGCCCGATTACTCGATTATCGCCTCCGACAGCCTTTACTCAAAGTTACAGCCAGTCCGTCAGCCTTATATCCCCCTACCCCTCCGCAAACCACAGGACCCTACCGTACCCAGGCCTTTCCCTCGTCACTACCCACCACCTGCTCCTGTGGGAGTAAAATGTCCTCTGAAATACATGCGAGTACCCCTGCATGAGAGTAACAACCCTACCCGCTAATGTGCTACAGAGCACCCGCCCCCTGCCACCCCTCCAAAATACCTTAAAATGGAGGAAGAGCGCAGGTGAAAATTGGCAGGTGAGGCAGGGACGAAGCAGAGGAGCAGGCAGAGGAGCAGGGAGTATGGGAGGAGGGAGCAGGGAGCAGGGAGCAGGGAGCAGGGAGCAGGGAGCAGGGAGCAGGGAGCAGGGAGCAGGGAGCAGGGAGCAGGGAGGAGGATAGGAAGGAGGGAGCAGGGAGGAGGATAGGAAGGAGGGAGCAGGGAGCAGGGAGCAGGGAGCAGGGAGGGAAGGTGCAAGGATCAGGGGTGTGTACATGTTGGGATACCGCAACTAAGCTCAGCTCAAAGTTTGAGTCAGGAAATTGCATAGAGATGTTCAAAAGTCAGGAATTGAGTTTCGCAAGAAATTTCATGACGTAACAACCAATTAATCTCCTCGGGTCGGTTTGCGGTGGCGTGGAAATGTGACTTGGCCTTCATATTCTTCTAGATGAGGTCAAGACCGCCCGTGCTCGCAGGAGCCACCATGGTGTCTGCCGTCTTCTATGCTTCATACCCCGCACAAGGTAGTTACCTCTCGTCGGCAACTTCTTCTTTTGATCAGTCCTGCAAGGATTCATGCTGTCAACGCCAATTCATCGCAAAGTTGCGAGAATCTCCGGAAACTACAGGTGTGGAACTCGATTTGATCTGGATTCGATCTACCGATCTCTCTTGCGCTCATCAAATTATGATGAGTTGTCCCTGCCATCAGAAACAAGGGATTCCCCGCTTCCCTGCTTCGCTCAGATGATAAGATACAAATCCAGAGGCAATCTACGACGCAGCCTCGTTCCATTTATCCCGTCATGTCGCAGGTTGTTGGAGCTTCGACAAGGTGTGAGAAAGACTGACTGTAAGTCGACAGAACCGAATAGAACCAGAAAGTCAAGCAGAGAACATGAAACCTCGATCAGCCGTGGTGAGTTGCTTTCTGCCTCATTGTCAATCAAGGATCGTATTTCTCATTGGCATCATCTTCACGCGTTTCTCTAGTCTCTTATTGCAGCCCTTGCTTCATCCTTCCTACATCCCTCATGCATCGCTGCAGGCCGTGGCAGGCTGCCGCCTCCTCCCATCGGGTGAGACTGAGTGGCTGCTGATCAAGCGCGGGAAGGTACGAGAGCGAACTCGAGGGGCTCGTCTGACTTGCAGGGAACAGCCGCCCTCCTACGGCGAGTGGAGTCTGCCGGGTGGATCAGTGGAGTTGGGCGAGAGCACTATAGCAGCAGCGAGACGCGAGGTGAGCGCCGTCAGAGGAGGGACGAGGGGCGCCTGAGTTACTGCCCAGCTGTGTGAAGAGACGAGGCTCTCGTCGAATGATGTGAAGTTCTTCGAAGATTCGTTCATGACTAGCGATGCTATTGTCAAAGATGCAAGAAGCGACGTGACGCTGTTCCATTACGTTATCGCTCAGCTGTTTGCCGAGATCAAGCCAGAGGTCTCTCCTGTCCTCCTCCTTCCCCGTTTCCTCCTCCTCCTCCTCCTCCTCCTCCTCCTCCTCCTCCTCCTCCTCCTCCTCTGGCGCCTTGTTGACCATGACGTAGGCTCAAGTGGTGGCGGGAGATGATGCTCTAGACGTGGGATGGTTTACCAAGGAGAAGATCCGAGAATCTTCCTTCGGCGCAGTATGTCCTACCAAAAGTGTCCTGAGGGCGAGACTGGCGTTGACCCCAGTTGCCAGGTATCCCCGGGGGTGCTGAGGGTGGTGGAGAGAGCGGAAGAGCTCAGGAGGGCAGGATGTCTTAAGCTCGATTGACCACTCTCCACTTCCTCCCCCCCCCTCTTCCTCCCCCTCCTCGTCCTCGTCCTCGTCCTCGTCCTCGTCCTCGTCCTCGTCCTACCACAACCGCTGGGGAAACACTCGATGCGGATCATCTTCTTGGTTCCAGTTGCCATCCACCGGGTCGTCCTGCAGGAAACAATGAACGAGAGCAGGGTGCCAAAAGGAGCGATTTCACATATTCGTAGTCGTCGAAAGTTCCCAGCTGTAGCCAGCGGGTGAGGAATGCTGAAGAAGCAAGCATAAACATCCTTACCGATCTCTGAATGACGTTCTCGATGTTGTACTCGTCCTCCAGCCCGTCGAACTTTGGAGGCTGTGACGCAAGTCAAGAAGGGAGAGCGGGGGTTTGGACTGAGGGGTTCACCTCGAAAGTGAGCTCCTGGAACCGGTCGTCGTCCACCTCTTTCTTCTTCTCCTTCTCCATCTCGTCGTCGTCTGCCCAGTACGCAAGGTCCACCTGCCGCACAGGTCAGGATACAGCGCTCTCCTTGCTCCTATATACCTTCTCCACCAGGCTGATGTTGACCCTGTCCGTTCCAAGGTCCCAGTCATTCTTGCGGAAGACGTAGACGAAGTCTGTCTCGTTGACTGACCAGCTGTTGTCAGCAGTCCTTAGGGGAAATGAGACAAGCATCACTTGTTGAGATGAAACCGTATCGCACTCCACCCTGTTCTGTCTTGAACGAAACCCTAAAGGTGTCTGAGTTGTTGAAATGTGCAGTCGTTGCATCTCACCAGTCGCCGACCTGTAAGGGTGCGTCTGGTTGGTTCTTGAACGGGGTGACAAGCTCGCTACTGTTGGCAAAACTCTTCAAGAATTCCTTCCTCTGCTTGGCAAGGTTGTTGGTTTCAACGCTGTCAAGGTGTATGTTCAACAGTTTGAGATGACTCTCGTTTCTCAGGGGCTCGTGGTGCTGCGTCATCTGTCGAAGCTTCACGTTGAGTACGGGCATGAAACGTCTCTAACCTCAAGGTTTGTGATGTTTTCTTGGTTTCTTGAGTTCCATTTGTCTGGGATAGCACAGGCACGTCAGGGAGAACTAAGACTTCAAGGAGATCATCTTTCACCCTCCGCATCTGAAAGATAGAATTCGTCTTCAATCGCATCTTCATCTTTTTCACCCTGCAGGCAGTCAATGAGAACTCCGGGCTGTCGCATACAACCTTGGCGTCCTTGGTCCAAATTCTTCCATTCTGCCATCCAAGATCAGGGTTGCGGTGAGAACAGGAGGACAAGGTTGGATCGTTTAACCTTTACGAAGAAATCCAGAAGCTCCTTGGTGTTCTCAGTCTTCTCGTCGTCATCCTGTGAAAGGAATAAGTGAGGACACGGCAGCGTCCAAGTCCAATCACGTCAACAAACGCTCCATGCGCGGCGGGCCCTTCATTCTCTTGCATGGCCGCCTTTTCAACATCGATGACAGTGGGTTCTGATCCGGCACTAACAGATTGAACTGCGTCGCAGGTTAGATTTCACTTGTCCCTCTCCTCCCACTCCTGAAGTTCTCACCATCATATTCGTCAACATTGATGGTCTCATATTCGTCGCCTGCAGAGTTTTCTTCATGTTGGACAAGTTTCAAGCATCGCCTGTACCTTGCGGCATGTCCATGATCGGGCCATCATCTAAAGGCTCCGACCCCCCTCGCAGGCGCAGCTTCATGCTTGTTTGAGCTTGAGAGTTGGATGCTCCAAGGAGAGGACTGAGAGGGTTGCAGCCGAGAAGCAAGCATGCAGGCCGAGAGTTTGACGCCCTTCCCTGCATGATCGGCAGGCTTACGACCATCATCGCCACCGCTATCGCTGTTGCTATCGTCCGCCCCACCATATTTTCCACAATTCAACCACCCCCACCCCTATCTGGACCTCCGATATTACCCGGTGCTCTGTTCTCCTCCCCCCGATGATCCATGCAGGCAGCCCGGGCAGACCTTAGGGAATGAGGGGAGGGAGACGAGGAGGAGGGAGACGGAGATACGAGTAGAACCACAAGCTTCCCAGCATCGAGTGTGTCTGCACAATGCCATCATTGCATGTCGGTCTGTCATCACTTTCTCGTCCGCAACAACCTTGCTAGACGCTGTCTGTTGTGAACCTTGTTGCACTCACTCATAAACCTTGCTTGATTCTCACTGACCCATTCAGATCCTTCAAGGTCTGAGATGACGCTGGGAGAAGCTTCGAGGTCGTCCATGCATGTGACTGCTCACTCGGCCAACATGCGCTGCTGCAGGCCCATGAGAGTGATGTGTGTGCATGGCTGGCGGACCAGCCCTTCTATCATGGAGTTCCAGGTTCACTTAACAACTCTCCGACAGGAGCTGACGGCTCCGTGCGATCAGACTGCCGAGCTACGGAAGCGCTTGCCAGGGCTAGAGTTTCACTTCATGGCCGGCCACATGAAGGAGAGGTCCGCCATTCCAGTTCATATCTGCATGTCGCTGAACCTCTGGACCTTATGACTGCAGTGAAGCTTGCGACCCAACCATCGCCACGCTCTTCGAGGGCCCATACTATGCTCACTGGGGGTTACACCAGGTGTGTGCGAGTCTTCAGTCCCCGGGGTCACTCGAATCTTGCAGAGCGAATCTGAACAAACAGCCAACATCAAGAAAGCAGTCCATGACGCGCTGGAGTTCATCAAGAAGAATGGACCTTTCCAATGTGTGATTGGCTTCTCACAGGTGAAGTATGAGGACTGATGGGGCCGCTGCCATGGTCGAGTGTCATAACCTGTCCTGTTTTCAACACCAGGGCGCGGCTCTTGTAACACTGCTTGCGTCTTTGTATCAGCGAGAGGGCAAGACAGATTTACCTGTAAGACCTCCCACCCCAATCAAGTATACTCATGCACATGCTATGCGGGCAGGTGATAGTCTGCGTGTGTGGCGTTCGGCCGGATCATAGGATGCAGAGCTCGTTTGTAGAAGAACTGATTGGGTCAAACCCTTTGAGCAAACAGATTCGCGAAGAAAATCTCTCAGCGAATATTCTTAAAGTGCGATCTTTGCATATCTTGGGGCTGCAGGTAGGGATTGACTGAAGGTGACCTGGTTTGACAAGCAAGTTTCAGGATCCACTGCTAGAGAGAGGAAGGGCTCTCCTTCAAGTCTGCAACCTGTCTGAACATGAAACCTGTGCTCACTTGAGTTCAGGTGTATGAAGATGAGACTGCTACAGTGTTCGAGCATTCGCGGGGGCATCAGGCGAGTGTGTTCTTGTTCTTACACAAGTCTGAAAGCACAATCAGTTTCCGCCGTGGGAGGAGAAGCTGATGTATGATGACATTGCAAAGTATCGCTCTTTGAGAAGTGTGTAGATGTGACTGAGATATTTACAGATGCATCACATCCGCCTTGTCAGCTTTGCCAGAAGACTCTGGGTTCAGTGAACTTCAGTGTACATTAGCGTAGAAGAACGTCCTGAGATCTGTCTGCCATGTTCTACTGCATAACGATAGTCTCGTGTCAGATGTGTCTTTCACGATCGTTTGCTCCATGCGAATAGGCTACTTCAGACAGAAAGGAAATATCTGAAAGGGCGACGGGTTGCTCAGAATCCTCAGGACAGCAGAGCATTTCTGTTGATGACGTCGAGGTGGGGTCCCCTCGGAACAAGACAGACATGTCTGTCAGGGAGTACAAGAAGTGGTGTCATGAGGAAGATTTCTATGTGTATTCTTCGAATTTACTTCATCTCAATCTTGATCCTGTCATGTGCTACACTCTAAGCGTTGTTGCCCATAATCTGCTGGGCCCAGATCTTGCCCTGACAACAAACGTCAACAAATGTCATGTCATGTCGTAACCTGGAAATTCACCGCAGTAACTCCGGCATCATGTCCGGCATTGAAATTCATCTTTGCGCTATCGCTGCCATCTTCGAAGTACGGGGTAGACTCGGCGCAAGCGTGGCCAGCAGTATACTCGTTGCAGTCACCATCTCCATCATATTGCTGCAAACATCACATTTAAACCATAAGGAGAAACCACTGCTTCAGTGTCGGAAAACTTTTATGAGGATAAGGAATATATGCTTTTTGTAGAAAAGTTTTCTTCATCCATGTTGAAATGTGAAAATTCAAGTTGCAATTCATACCATGGCTGACAAAAATAGCCGAACAAACGCAGCAAGCAATGCATATTGACAGCTGAACAAAAGGGCATTGAAGCATCCATCATGTCATGGCTGCAATGCTGCAGACTAACAACAGCTCGTATCAACCATCACAACGGAGACAATAGCAGTCATGTAACCAGACATCCACACTTGACAGCAGTCGATAAGACATTTGAGGAAAGAAACTCAGAGAGGTCGTAAGGGAATGTTTTCACTGGCTGAAGGGCATATCTTTTACCTCAACTCAAAACTTCACGCCTGCAACAGCAAACCAAGAGTATGGCTAATTCACACTTGGCAAGTAAGGGAGAGGTTAGACAACTAGGAGGGGGATGAAAACAACTGTCGAGGAAGAGGGAGGAGGCAGGAGGAGCTCAGATGCATCATTCTTTCACCACTCACATTCCTCTTCACTCACCAGCGATGTGAAGCGCGCGGAAGCCATTCTGAGAAGCTGAAACATGATCGGCCCTGCTCTATTTCGGGAAGCGGCGGTGCCTACGCGGGGATGAGGCCCAGTGGTACCGGCGGCCCCCGCCAGTGTGCAGTGCCGCGGTGCCGTGACCGGGGCCGGCCGCGGGCGGGCAGCCAGCCCGGGCCGCCCTGACACTGTCCGGCGGCGGAATCACCGTCCGATCCTTGCAAGTGACTCCGGGCCAAAGTGACGGAGCACAAGTTTGTTAGACTTGTACTATGCCAAAGTCACGCAGATATCACATCGACCTTACGGTTGTAACAAGACAGTTCAAGTTTGCTCAAGACCGAATTTAATGCACACTAAACCAGAATTGAGGAGCACATGAGAGATAGACTGTATGCTAGTCAACGGTTAACTCGGCGCTATCTGACTGGCACGGCTGGCATACGCTCCATCCCGGGTCCCCCCGAGTTCAACGGCCCAATTCTGTCCGAGGAAACAGTAGTACGTTACATCGCCGGACGTCACATCGGAAAGTCACACAAACAAGAGAATGTCAGCAAACTTCTCTCGTCTTCTCTTTTATCTTCTCTCTTCTCAGACACTCTTTACTCTATCTCTCTTCATTGCATCCGCTCGCTATGCATCTCCCTTATCTCTTTGCTGCACATCTAATAGCCCTGCATGATGGTTATTGCCCGCTCAGCCTAACTGTGAAGTTGACGCCGCAGACAGCCTTATCGTATCTCGACTTGGAACTCTGCTGACATTCTCTTGTTTGTGTGACTTTCTGACGTCCGATGTAACGTACTACTGTTTCAGAAACTCGGGGGGAGGATGGAGCGTATGCCACTGAAGACCCCGAGGGGGACCACTCAGTGCGGACACTGGCAGGCTGGCAGTCGGCAGGATGAGGGTATGCTCAGTGCCGGGGAGCCAGGCTCCGAGGCTCGCCGACTCCGAGTCGCCGGACGCCGCGGGGCCCGCGATCCGATCATCAGCCACAGTGCCGCGGGCGGCGGCCGGGCCGGGCCGCCCGGGCCCGGGCGCCGGGCCCGGGGGCCGGCGCCGCATGGCGCCCCCCGGCCGGCGGCGCCCTGCGCGGCGCCGGTGGGCAGTGGCCCCGGCGCGACGAGGCGGCAATAATGCAGCGGCGGCAGCGCACCACGTGCATGCGAGTAGCAAAGGAGCAGGGAGAGAGGACAGCAAGGACGGGGGATATATGATGATAAGAGCAAATTGGAGGGTGGGCAAGCAGGATTCCTCCAGAGTAGCCTGGAAGACGAGATAATAGAATTAAGATATGCTTGAGGGGAGACAGTAGCTGCGAAGGATATATAGCAGAAGAAGAAAAGACGAAAGGTCCACAACGAAACTTGAGTAGGTTTGAAATTTGATTAACAAGCAGAGCAATCAAGTGAGATAAGCCGCAAAATAGGGTTTGGAAAGACCAAGAGCGCATTGCAGGCAGCCCTATCCTTGTTTCCCAAATTTAGGGTTTTGCAAAATTTTGTCCCGAAAGTAGACGATCCTGACTTATGCCAAGCCATTCATGAGTAAAACGAATTCAGGGATGAATTGAGAAGCCGAAAATCTTTCCACAGCATTCTGACAATATCAATAGTACTGGAGCTGCTTGGAAACAGAGTTTGAACGCCTCTTGCTTTTTTCTTGGCAGCAAATGGTATTCAAGCACTTTTCTTTGTGCCTCATTTCTTTTCTGCTTTCACGGTTTCCTTGCCATTCATTGCGTTGGAAGTGATTCTCGATCGCAGAACGCTGACAAAAAGCAAGCGGTATTGGACCTCAGCAGACATGTTGATCAGAAAGTTCGCGTCAAATTTTCAGGAGGTCGTGAAGGTGATAATCTTCTTAGTTTGATGACACTCTCAAATCCATGCAGTGGAGGGCAGGCTGAAGGGGTTTGACACGCTGGTGAATCTGGTGTTGGATGAGTGCATCGAGTACATCCGCGGTAAGAAACATGCTGAGACAGCGCTGTTGTCTGTGACTCCCTCTTCAGATCCTGACGACCCCTACAAGCTCACCAATGAAACTCGACAGCTGGGGTTGATTGTGTGCAGAGGAACTGCTGTCACACTAGTTTGTCCATGCGACGGTATGATGGAGATTGCCAACCCTTTCATTTCAGCTGAGTGATGGGACCCGCACTGTAAACGTTTATCTGGTTACAGAGGTCGTAAAGATATTGAGTTTGTGATTCGAATTGTGAATCAAATGGATTTACCCGCAAGGTGTTGCGTGTGATGGAAGCGTACACCTTGCGGGTGATGGAAGCGTTTGTCGGAGACATTTGAGACTACCAGCCGGGAATATCCCAATCGTGTAACCTAACAGACATGTCGTGGAAGCATCAAACCAGCCCGACACAAGCATGCTTCATATGGCAAAGAACAGAAAGTATCACATGCAATTTCGTTATCTATTCTTCACAGGTAATGACTTACTAATCGATATACTGTGCTACCCACTGAAACGCTTCCCTGTAACCCATCCTGCGGATCACACTCACCATGAACAATTCCATCGGGCGAACACCCTTCGGAAGATCGGCCTTTCCTGTCTTTCCTGTCAGGTATGACTGCAGACCCAGTGCCTGTCGCAACTCAGCCTCCGAGGCCGCACGAGGCTGATCGATCTTGTTTCCTAAGATAGCAAAGGGGATCCCAGCTAACTGATCGTTGCTCAACAGCTTGTCGAGTTCTGCCTTGGCCTCTCCAAAGCGATTTCTGTCGTTACAATCCACCAAGAAGATGATAGCATTGACAGCTGTGAAGTAATCTTGCCAGAGCTCGCGTGCTACATCGTGCCCTCCCAAGTCATGTACCCTACACAAACATGGATTAGAAAGCCTCCAAAATTCAAGTTTGAAGAGAGCAGGGGAGGTTATCTGCCAGTGATCATGTATGAAATGACAAAAGAAGAAAAACTATTCAAGCGAGATCAGCACGTAGGATAAAGACAGCATGTGAGGAATGGGAAGACTAACTGCAACAGTCCGTTGAGTGGTAGAGTAATACAGCAAGGAAATGCAAAGAGGGAGACAAAAGCAAGCAAGTGCACAAATAACAAAGGAGAACAGATCTTGTCTTCTTTTCAACAGCAATCAAAGCGTTCATGAAGCATATTCTTGTTCAAACGAACATAACCAGAAGCTTGCTGGGTGCAAGGAACTCCTCAAATAGGAAATAAATACAACAGACTCTTATCTGTCCACCTCTAGCATAGGGCAAGACTGATTCCTTGGAAACTCTCTTCTAATTTATACCCATCGTTCCATCCCCTCTGAAACAATCGCCATGGTTCACCTGAAGCGCAGTTTGCCCATGGTCAATTCCTCGTCGTGAGGATGCTGAGTGGGCTCCAGCTGAGCAACCTTCTTCTCCTTGAGCATGTGAAGGAGAGTTGTCTTGCCGGCATTGTCTAGGCCAAGGAAGAGAATCTTCGCGCGCTTGTTGCCGAGCCCCAGCCATGACAGCACCCCCTGGAACCAGTTCACAAGAAACATGCCGCTAGCCCCCGCGATGCCGCAAGAGGGACCCGTAAGGACACACGGAGGGTGGGGTATCATTTGGGGAGGGGTGTTTATTTGTACCGGGTACTTCCTAGAAAAATGTCTTATCACGAACGGGTACTGTGATTGACTGAACCGGTCATGTTCTCACGGTTGGATTTCATTGGAAGGGTGCAAAGGTAGGGTGGAAGCATTCATGTGTCGATGCGATGGGGTAGGTATTCCCTGAGGGTAGGGTGAAGCGAGAAGGCAAGTGCAGGGGTGGGGTACAATCTCCAATTGAATCGACTGAACTTCTGGTTGAACTTTCAACAAATAGTTACAAATATTGGAGAAATACTCCAAATGTCTTTTTAATATTTGAAAATGTGTGTTCAATATTTGATTTAAACTATATATCCCCATAAATTCACTATGAACTTTTGAAGAATGTTAGAGACCTTCCATATTTGGACAGGTGTAGAAAATGTTTCTCTAGATATTTCAAATCTTAGGAAGTGGTTCACAATATTCAAATCTAACACGAATGAAACAACGGAAACAAGAACCTTTGGCACATATTTTCGCCGTTTCATGTTGTGTATGAAAATGTCTCTGAAATTGTTTGATTGCTCCAATGTATTCTAATTTGTTCGATATTTTGTCTTATATTTGACTCAATAATTTCAAAGATAATTCATATATTTGGTCTATTGAAAATTCCATTTCTGCGTGACGTCACCTCCACATCCCGCACCCGTACATACCTACCCCTTGGCTCGAACAACCCTATGAGCAAGTACCCGTCCTTTTGTCGATCTCAAGTACCATAGTGACTGGTCATACTACCCTACAACATTATACCCTACCCCCTATTACCCCTCATAATCACCCGTGCTCGGTCTTGGCAGCTTCTCGGCACCCCTCCAGGGTACTTGAACACCCTACCCCTGGTCCCCTTTCCCTTTATAAGTCGAAAACCGACGGGCCCGACCTTACCGCCGGGGCCACCCGGTGTGTCTATTACTGAGAATTTGATGCGCTTTCAGAGAACCTTTGAAATGGCGTGCCGCTGTGGAGGAAGATCTTTCGGCCAGTCTCTTGACAAGTTAGCGTTGTATCTCCCTCTCAGTCATCATATAACTTCCGTTTGAACATGATCTCCTCCCCCTCACCTCCTCCTCACTCGAGTCTGCTCTCCTGGCATGTGTTGGCTCATCACTATCCCCAACTCCGTTTCATTGTGAAATTGATGCCCAATGATATGAGAGCAATTTAGAGAATACATCGCTTCCAAGAGCACAAATTTGTTTAGATTCTCTATTTCATTCTCTGTAGTTTGCAACCAGCCTGGAAACTCTATGTATCTATTGAATTTCACCACCATCTATAGTCCAGGTCATTTTGATTTGTTGATTTCTCTCCTAGATTCGCTGCATTCAAACTTCAAATGTATTAGCACTAGAAAAGAAATGCATCTGATTGGTAATGACTTGATTTTGTTCAGAATGGAAATAGAAGTGGGAGATGATATCTCCTTGTTGGAAGGTGAAATTTCAGCGATGGAATTCAGATTATCGCAGCTCGAGCAGGAGAAGGAAAAGTTAGCAATCTCGAGGACAGTGAACGCAAACCACATCGCAGCTTTGGTCCAATGCCATGGATCTCTATCCAAGCAGATCCTGCAAAGATTCGATAGCTGTGCTACCTCTGAATCTAGAATGAAAGAATGTCTGCATGAGGTGTTCAAGGAAGTCATGGATGAGAAAGAATACTTGAAACAAGTCGACGGAGCCGTTGGGGATCTCAAAACATTCATGGATCGCAATAGCATGTTTCTGAATACTCTCGTGGAAGCAATTTCGCTCATCAACGATCAAACGGATAAGAAATCAAGGACAAGCGTCTCCTGCCTTGACCAGCTTCGAAAGGAGGCAGCTTACGAGCTAGCAAGGCTGCAAGATTGTTTTGTGCATTCTGAGATAGACAAGACCGATGCGTTGGTGCAACTGCAACAAAACTTGACACTTGAGAAGGTTCTCAACGAGCAGATAAAGAAAATCTCTTCCGGAGATCTTGAAGTTGATATGCCCGTGAACAACTCTGTCGAGCAGTCCGTAGTTACGAAACAGAACACAATCAACGCTCTGAACAAAGATGCAGATACACTGAGAAGCGAGGTGGAGAGTGTCTTGCTGAATGAGCTGAAGAAGTCGCAGGGGATGTCGATCAGGGAAGGCGATGCAGAAGTAAGACTGGAGCAGAGCAAGGAGAATGTGCTGTTTCTTGAGAAGATCTCGAGCATCGCAAAATTGCACGTATTTTGCGTTGAGTTGTTGAGAGTTGTGATGCAACACCGATGTGAAGAGCAAGACAGGAGCCTTGACTCTCTGCAAACAGTGCTGCAGGTTCTTGAAGTGTTGTCCGGCCTTCTTCTAAACGCGGGCAGCATCTTTAAGTTTGCTGATGTTGATAAGGAAAATCAACCGACCAACAAGCCGGAAAACTCTGCAATTCTGACGCAGTACATGAGCTTGAGGAGGAAGGTAGATAGCCAGGAGCAATGTCAGGCTGAATCTCTATCGTTGTTCTCTCGTTCAGCGAAGGACAACGACGTCAGGATTTCGGCTTTCAAGAGTCTCGTTTGGGAGACAACAGACAAGAGAAAGTCTCCTGAGTCAAGCTTCGTCTGTGTAGAAGATGCCATGGCGGAGCTGGAGAAGGTGCAGCTCATGTCTTGAAAACTCCCTATCTTACTGTTGACCAGGTCAAAGCGAAACTTGAAACAAACCTGTTGAAAGTTGGGAAGCTACGATCAGAACCAAGACCAAAACTTTCAGATGTGTTTGTTGACTTCTTCTTGAACCCACAGGCTTTGATACCCAGATACGATTCGTAGACACTTGGCAAGAAAGTTGTTTCAAAAGCTGAGAGTTTTCAAAACGCTCAGATACAAACTCCTGCACTTAGGTCCAGTGAAACTTGACATTGAGGCAACAGCTGAGAGTCACGATCTTTTGTAAACATATATTGATCGAACGCAAGCGTCTCTGGCCGAGTTTGAATTTTCAAACATTCATTTACCACGCCTCAACCTTAGTTTCAAGTTCCATGCCTGCTGAGCTGGACATGTGACTACGGATCTTGCTACCTTCCTTGTGGGGAATTAGAATTGAATTCGTATATTTGAATTCAAAAATATTAAATGAAAATTTGAAAATTTGTAAGAATTTTTGGAGTTATGCTTGAAAAGGAGGTCGGGGGAGAGCGCCCAATGCTGTGTGATGTGGCGATGGTGGTGTACATGGCGACAGCGAAGCATGATGGCAGTGATAGGAGAGCACATGTGATGCAGGGAGGATGACGGGAATCATGTGAAAGATAAGATCGGTGATGATGAGGGAAAGAGAATATGTAGTCTTACTAGAAGCGGAACTCAAGGATTACGTTGCAAATTGAAAGCCATTCATGGCAGAGCTTCGTTTCTAGGCAGTGACGACGTTTCCTTACAGAGGCGAAGCCCCTGGCATTGGCATGAAGAACAAATAGGATAGGATCAGGTTTGTGCTTGAAGACTTGACGCCGGACAGCTATCGTTTCATCCACAATGTCTGGCAACTTTGAAAGACAGTTACAAGCCGACCTCCATCTGTTCAAGAGCGAGGGAGGCCGCAAGTTTCCGAAGCTTCGAGATTGTGCAGAACGAGCAGATCGGTGAGTGCAGACATGCGCATCGTCCTGTCTTGGACTGACTCTCCTGCCTCGCCCCTCCAGCTACCTCCGCGAGCTGAGCGAGGGGGGGGCGACCACGGATCAGGAGTTTGCCACAGCGTTGAGGCAAGTCGGCGAGATTCTGAATCCTGGGCTGATAGCGATAGAGACGAAGAATGCAAAGTGAAGCTGAGAAGAATGCTTGCTGCGATTCTGATGGATACTGCAGGTTCATGTCCATGGGGTGGGGTTATATTACTCGACTCGCCATGTACGATGCGATAGAGCGCGAAGCTTTCACCGCGGTGGGTCAGGCCATGAAGCAGGCGTGCGACAGCCATGGCGATGAGAATGTTCAGCTACGCGTCTTGCAGTGTATCACTGCATCCATGCAAGCTCCGACGCTCCTGTCCTCTCGCCAGGCTGTCTGCACGCTGGTGGAGAGTATCCTATCTTTGTACCATAACAAGAGCGCGACGATCTCAAATACTGCTGCTGCAACATTGAGGTGTGGATGACAATGATGGCACTCTCAAGCATCTCATGCCTCTTCCTTGGCAGGCAGAGTGTGTGTACCTTGTTCGAGTTTGCCTGCCATGCCTCGGACCCCGCGTCGTTTGCGGTGCACCACCAGGAGAAAGCGAAGGAGCAGGCATGCTTGCTGTTTCCTTTTTGTCTCGTCTGATCGTGTGGAGCAGCAGGATGAACAAGACGGTGAAAAAGTTGAGCTAGATGGCAACCAAGACCTGCAGGCAGAGCCAGACAAGTCCCGCACGAGGGGAGAGCTGCACAGAGCTGCGGTTCTCCTTGCGGCAGAGAGCATCGCAAACGCTTGCACGATTCTGCAGGAGCTCGGGGTGCTAGCAGGAGGAGATCCGTCCAAGGTGTTGAACATCAAGACACATGCAAACATCGACCTGCTCTGCCTTGAGGTCATCGACGCCGTTCTCCGAGCTCAGATGCCCTTCTGCTTGACGCACAGCAGCGTGCTCGGAGTACTTCGAACCAGCACCTGCCCGATGATCGTCAAGAAGTTGCAGAAGTGCATGGGAGCAGGGAACAGGAAGGAGCAGAAGTTCAACTACTGCATCAGAACCTTCCGCATCGCAGGTCGCCCCCTCTCCCCCCCCCCCCTCCCCCCCGCTTCTCGCACTTTTGTGACCCACCACTGCAGGAGCCATCGTCTCATCGCACCACCAGGCTCTCCTCCTCGACATCTCCAACATCATCTTCGTCATGACCCACATCATCACCACTGATCTTCCTGCCTGGCAGCAGCACCTTGCCCTCGAGACCCTGAGGACGTTCTCCCTCCAGCCCCAATTTCCTCCTGCTATGAGCGGCCTCTTCCAAGTCCCGTGCAGCAACCTCGCAGAGGAGGGCCCGGGAGGAGACCAAGGCAGCAACATGCTCCTGGAGATGATCAAGGCGCTGGAGAGGATCGTGCGGAAGGTGCTGGGATCTTTGTCACAGGGAGAGGCCGCAAACTCGACAGGAGGGCAGCCAGCGCGAGTGCAGCTGGAGGGGATCGAGCCAATGACGGGCAAGCTGAAGTTGTATGACATGCTGGGGCAGGTCGGCCCTGAGCTTCCCCCTGGAGTTGGGAGCGAGCTGGCGTTGTTTGAGCTGGCCCTCCTCGTGCTGTGTGACGTGGCAAAGACGATCGGGAGCATGACGGGAGTCGTCCGTCACGTCGACTTCCCCCACAGCCTCGCGGGTCACCCGCGTTGCAACTCGGAGGTGATGATGCAGAACGTGCAGGAGACGCGGAGGATGGTGGAGCTCACATGGCAACACCTCCTTCCTGGGCTCCAGCTCGGCATGATCAGCGTGCAGTCGACGGCCTTCTTGGAGCCGCTCATCGACGCCTACGTCTCCTACACGCAGGCGTGTGCCGTACTGCAGATGGTGGGCCCTCGAGACAAGGCCCTCGCTCCCCTGTGCCGCTCTGCTCTGCCAGGAGGAGCACCTGACGGGTCGGCGGTGCCTCTCCATCCCCACAACATCCTCATCACGAAGGCCCTGATGCTGCTGGTCTTCGACATGGGCGGCGTGCTGGGGGACTCGTGGAGCATGGTGCTGGAAGTGCTCCAGAGGCTGGACTCGGCCCTCATCGAGCGAGGCCTCCTCCCCGATAACCCGGGGAGAGGAGAAGATCCGCCCAAAGTGCTCGCGGAAGGATCGTGGAGCGAGGGGAGGATGGAGGCAGAGCTAGTCAAGCTCCGCCTGTACCTGGACATGATGTTCGAGCAGACGGACCAGCTCGACGACGAGGCGATAGTCGTCCTCCTTGGGTGTCTGTGCCGCGTCAGCATCAGCTCCATCTCGGGCTCCCGTCCTGACATCGTTGGGGCGAACGCGGCGGGGAAGGGAGAGAAGATGTTCGGCATCGACAAGGTCATCGTGGTCATGCTCAACAACCTGCAGAGGATGGGGAGGCTGTGGGAAGCTGCTGCTGCTGAGCTCTCCCGCGTCGCCCTCCACAACCGCGCGACCGTCAGGCGTTACGGCATGACATGTATAACGGAGCTCATGATCGCTGCCTTCAAGAACCGAGCTGGACGCCAGCCCGGGTCTCCCTCCACCCCGAGCACCCCGCAGAGCCCAGCACCCGGGCATCACGACGACCCCGCAAACTTTGACATGGAGCGGCGGATCCTGGCGGTGTACGAGGAGCTGTACCGCAGCCCGTGGGCAGACACCAAGAATTACGTGCTGGAGGGCTTGTACCAGCTGCTCCTCTCTTGCGGGGAGGACGTGGGCCCGGCATGGCCGCTAGTTCTCGCGCTGCTCAAGGGAGTCGCGCAGGATCAGGAGGAGCAGGTAGGAGGGTGTGGAGAGAACAAGAGGGGAGGAGAGAGGAGAGGTTGTCGAGAGCGCGGGGGAGAGGAGAGGAGGGGACGGGGAGAGGAGAGGGAAGGGAGGAGGACTTGGGAGGAGGTAGTGTCCAGCTGGGGGTCTAATGGAGGACGAGCAGCAGGTGCGCCAAGCCTTCATGTGCGTGCAGCTTGTCCGAAACGACTTCCTGTCTGCGCTGCCAGTCGACTGCCTGCAGCTGCTGCTAACGACGATCGGAGCGTACGGGTGTCAGGGGTCAGACCTCAACATCTCCCTCACCGCCATTACCCTGCTGTGGAACATCGCAGACTTCTTCGGCAGAGAGCGTCCTGCCCTCCTTGCGGCCTTCTCCGAGGTTGTTCCCTGCCTTCCCCTCGTCCCCACTTGCCTCCTCCCCAGTTCTCTCCCCTCCGCCTCTCTTCTCTTCTCCCCCCTCCTCCCTCCTCCCCTCCCTTGCTCCTCCTTCTTTTCCACTTGCCTTGCAACTCTCTTCTCCTCTTCTCCTCTTCCTACCCCCTCCTTTCTCTTTTCGTCTCTTCTCTCTTTTCCTTTCCCCTCCTCTGCTCTTCAAATGCACTCCTTGCTCCGTTTCACTTCCCTTACCTCTCTCTTCCCCTCCCTCCTTTCCTTGTCCCTTCTGCCATGCTTCGCTCTTGCTTCTCAGCGCTTGTCCTCAATTGTCCTCAGGTCGATTTTCATCCTCAAGTCCCTCGTCTTTCCGTCTCCGATGACGGTGAGCTCGTGAGCGAAGCAGACGACCTGGAGGAGGAAGCTCGACTGGTAGCCTCCTCGTCCACGTGCCTCCTCTCCTCTCC